GGACTGCGACCTGAACGCAGCGCCTTAGACCACTCGGCCAGAATGACAAGCAAACAACAATATTTGCCATTTCAATTAACGCGTGTGCTGCCGTCCTTCTAGCGATAGGCACATTCGGTTTATATCCACCATTTTTCCAGTTTTCACCAATGGAACTCAAAGGTTCACTCCCATTCCGACATTCGGCTATAGCATTTTCAAAAATTCGTGCAGATCTCCCAAGTGCCCTTGAGATCAAAGTTAATTCAAAATTAGTTAACAAACCTGCTCACAACAATACTGAGGACGCAACGCAGGACGAAAATATCGCATTATTCAGGAATGACGTTCAAAACCCATCTAATACCGCTATTCGGTTATACCTCTCCTGGTAGAAACCGCTGAAAGGCTAAATGGATTCTCAAAAGATTGTGAGAAAATAGTTAGTCACAACAGCCTAACCCCCTTATCGGGTTTAATCACCTGTTATCATTTCCTACCGCCCACTACAATAAGGCTGCTGGAGAATAACTTTTTGGGACCCACATATGGCCTGCACAAATGACCTGCGGTAGCCAACAAGAAGTACAAGTCAATTTTTTGATCCTCCAAACGAGTCAGGGTAGCATTAGCCAACGCTGGAGAGTTGGAAGGCTTGATTGGCCTGGCGCTCAGGATTCCCTGGGCCATGCGTGATACTGTGTCACCTGGCACTGCATCACCTCCGCCCTCGAATCTCTCAAGTTCACATAATTAGCAAGTCTGAGAGGACGTAAAGCACATTGTTGAACAGGTTCAACGTTGAACGATACATAGTAACTTAGGATAAAACTTCACTGTTTTCGATTAGAAGTCACCGGTTGGTCGTGCCCTTTCAACTCCTCAGACCACTGCTTTACACCAATTCATCAGAGTTTTGCCAAACGGCAAATGCTCGCCGACAATCCGATCATACCTTTAGTAACGTTTTACTGGTACGTCTCTAAACTATTTTTCGAGTCATTTTTTTGTGAACAGCTGCTGTAACTAGTGGCCATCGTGTCCGTTGGACTATGCAATCACCTTGCTCGATCGCTCCTAGCCAAAGTTACAAAAACTTCTGCGCTTTGCTGCTTTGTAGACACAGCTTCCAAGTATCCACCGAGCAGGCGTGTCCCTTCTTCTGCTCCAATGAAGTTTCACGTTCGACTAGGCAGCACTATGAGAACCTCACAAAGATGGATCAATCAGTTTTTCTCGGCTAGTCGGACAGCTTGCTGACCAATCGATCAAAGATTTCTCTGAACCCTAATGGTTCCGACATGAATCAATCGCTTCCTCGGCAGCGTGCCAATTATGGACACCTCCTTACTTCGACTTCTCGTAGATGTGGGGTGCAATACTTTTCTCGTACTGGTCCCCAAACGCGTGTTCAGAACTTGGAAACCCCAGAATCGTGGGTGGCAGATTTGGCACATCGACGTTGCCAGCACACTCCACCACGGTACGACACTTCATCCAAGACCAGGACCTCAAACGTTGAGGAATCCTGCTACCTTATAAACCTCCGCCGTGGTGGGTCTTGAAAGCATTGGGGAGACGAGGGCATATGCTTAGAGGTATGGTAGGTACTACTCTGAAAGCATCAGTCACTTATCAGTCCGCGATTATTCTCATCGACCGGTTCAGCCGCCGAGAAATCCTTCATTTCTTGTCATCCCTGCGTTTTGTGAGGTTGTGAGGACACCCACACTTGTTCCTCGAAGATAATTATGGATTCTACTGAGCAAAAGGATTACGCCACTACCTGCAGACGAAAGTAAGTGCAGCTCCCCTTCCCCATAGACCGATGAAGACTGTAACCTCCAACGTATGACCGTTAACAGAGTCGGTTGTTAAACGCACGTCTATATATGAAGCCTCAGCCTTGGACGCCAGAATATGCTCAAACTCCCAACTTCCATTCAGAGTTATAGAGACGTCGGAATGCATATTCTGCCATACTTGGAGGGACCAACCCATGAACAATTCAATACTTTTCCCCCAGCCGAGTCTGGTACCTTCTGACCTATCACCACAGTGAAGAAGGTTCGTTTGACCTGACCGGATTTCGACTCGGAGACTAGCTCATCTATTTCTTCCGTATCATCGTATCGCCTGTACCATGAAGCCTCGGAATGCCAAGATATGACAGTGAGGGGGAATGATTAGGAGGGAGATATCTTCGGAAATCTACACAGTAACTCAGCACCGTATTCTGGCGCACGGGCTGATAATCACGTTATACAACAATTAGTTGCTCGTATTATGATAAGAGAGCGCTCTCAAGCTCAAACTTTTCCCAAAAGATGCCTTGTATTTGAAGAAAATCCAATTATAACGAACGCATGGCAGCAATAACCATGTAAAATGGCCAACTTCAAAGTCAATAAGAGGAGAATGAAGTAATACTTTTTGTTTTTGGTCGAGGCTACTGTCCGAACTGATGAGTGAAGCACATCAAATATCAATGGTACAGCAAGCAGATCCCGGATTTCTACCTCATTCTAAGGCAAGTTGACATTAGAACCTCTATAATGCCAGCTTTGGACGAAGGAGGTGCCGTTTATTTGCAAGGTCCAGTTCGCGAACTGATTCTAGCTGCTAGTTGAAAGCAGTGGCATGTTGCAGACTGAATACCCACCCAAGAAATACCAATGCAATGGGTTGGCACATGCCATCTCCATCGGCACGCTCTTGGTCCTCACACTGACCACAGGCCCACCATTTATGTCGTGATACCACCCCATTCTCCTACCCTCCTCAAATACTGGATGTTAAAGAGGGGCTTCCTGTCCTCCTTCCCTGAGGCCCAGCATTTCTCATCAAAAATGCAGTACAGGGTTCTCTTGAAGTCAGGGCGTCGAAAACGGGACCCTGCGGGAGGTACATTCAAGGAGCTCCCGACACAAATCCATGAAACACCTAAGTTCTACAATCGGAGGGCGGAACACTGATAGCACAATATTTATTTCCGTGTGGGACCATCTCACCCACCCTACATGAAGGACTCCATTTCAGATGTTATTAATGGAAGAGATTCTTCGTGTATACCGATTAGTGAATCCAGCTTGCACAGCTCCACAATCGATCTCTACGACAAACATTCAAAAAGATACCAAGATCACGTCATCGCCTACGCCAGCTGTCGATCCTCAGGAACTCTCACAAACACTCATTGAGAATATGAATCGAGCTCTTAACTGTATCACAAATTCAAAACATTCATCAGCCCCCATGGTAAGTTACTCTGGTTAAAGTAAACATCCAGTACTCAACTACAGTGCAGAATTTAGCAAAGGAGACCGTTCCATCAATGAACAGGGTAAGAAGCAAGGATATCCGCAGTAGCTACACATGCCTGTTCCCCATTCTGCCACTGTTGCACCAGCTGCTGGATACCACAGTATGAGCAATCGAATGACAGGGCGTTCGTTTGAATTCCCACGGACATATGCAAGCGCGTGGCAAAAGTCCGAGAGTTGTTTTGAGACATCGAACTGCAACGACCGTAATCATGGATCGAGACCATACTGCAATCATTCCAATGTGACCCATAGGATGTGCGCTCTTTTCGCCAACTAAACGGCTCTCTTTCACCTGCTTTTGAACTTAGAGCATTCACCAAGGCATTTCATGCAACGAGACAACTAACCAACACATAGCGCGATTCAAGGCAACTAGCTAGGAGGAACCCAGTAGGCCTACAGAGGATTCCAAGGGACACAGGTTTGACCCTGATCGCGTTTGTAGCTCATCAAGACAAAAGTAACCACTGAACATGGTTCCCACCATTACTTTACGGGAAAAGCCCGGTGAACTGCGGAAATGCCCAAACGATAGTCTCTGTCGTTATCTGCATAATAAAGTAGTTGGTAACCTATTTGCAGCAGTTCCACTGGAGGTATATTAAGTAATTGCAGACTTTGAACGAAGAAACACATCAACATGCCTACACACTCAATGAAAAAGTTTTTATTCCAAGATCTCATGGGCGAAAAATCAAAGGGTAGATTTATTGATGGCTTCGGGAACTATTGAAACCATCTGAGATCCACATAGAATGCTTTCAGTTCAAAGTGCAATTTTATCGGACGTATAATAGGCCCGGCCGGGATGAGTGTCAAACAATTGGAATCAGATACTGGCTGTCATATTTTGATTAGGGGGAGAGGAAGTGTAAAGGTGAGCTCAAAGAATCCATACAAACCAGTTTGTTACTCTTTCACTTTCAGGATCCTCGAAAAGAACAACGGCTTCGGGGTCAGCCAGGATGGGATCATCTTGAAGAACCTCTACATGTGCTCGTCACTGCTGTCGATCATAATCATATTGTGTTCGTAAATATCACTCCTAAGTAACCATGTTCATATTTAAGTTGGCCCTCTGACCGCGAACACTTCCTATGGATAGGCTTGGGCAGTGGGTGAGGCGGTCAGATGTGTGATATAAGCCTTGGTGCAGCTTTTTTGTACCAGACAACATGGATAGCCTTTTAAATGTGTCCTATACGATGTGAACGGCTCGTCCAGCCAATCCTCCCTTTCTTGGGAACACCCCTAATTTAGCAGGGTGTCGCGCCATGTGGAAGCCATAAACCGCATACGCGGCTGCAGTTGGTAAAAGAACATCTACCGTGCCCGATTGACGAGCCAACGAACCCACTCCTTGTTGAGGTTAAAAGAAGCGAGAGAATACAAAGATATGAATATTTAGAAAATGTAACAATAGATTAAAATAATGGCTATCCATCTTCTGGGCGTGCATCAGGAGCACAGCAACCCAGTAGTCAAAGATCGGCCGTGTAAGATACCTCTCAATATTTTTTTCTGAATAAACTCCCACTCGCCTTCAATTTTCCTCTTGTTGGGTTCCGCAACTCTTCGATGTCAAGCGCGGCATCCAGCACTCCTGCCGAGTAGGGCGGACCCTACTATAATCCACGCTCGTTGCAACGCGCAAACCGATCTCTCTAAAAATTCGCAAAAAAAACTGAAAGCTCAAGGGTTCCAGGGCTTTAATGACTACACAGCAATGTTAGGTGGGATCTCAAACTTACTCGTCATGATTTTCCCTCAATAGGAGCACTCGATCAACATATAGTTGACCTCCGCGCACCATCCGGTGCTGCAGATGCCCGTTTACTGACTGTTCTAATTCAGATGTCAGCAAAAACTACGGCAAGGTGTGGAAAGTGTACGACATCTATTGACGCCAGCACACGACGACTATAAACGCTGTCAATTGATGCAGCTCGCAATCATAAACGGTACCTATCGCCAAGCGCAAGAAACAACGGCCCACGAATAAACCCAAGTAGCTATTGAGGGTTTATTTTCATTTTGCCAATATAAAATTGTGTTCATACTTTGAATGTCTCTTCTGTATTCGTAAAATCAAATAGCACAAATGAGTAGTAATTCGCCTTCATTGCAAAGGACACATAAGAAATACCCAACAGAAAACAACGGGTGACTGGTAATATCAAACACTATAAATCCAAACGCAAAACTACTTCACAAAACCTGAATTCATGTGTACAACTTGATCAATTCCTCTCCAACTGCTGCAGGTGTTAAAATGCCAAGATCCGTAAACAATAGGTTGATGTACTGGAATCATGCTATTTATTTCAAGAGAAACAAAAATAGAAAAAGCGTAAGCAAAGAGCAACGAACTAACCTGAGGAGATGTGTAATCAACCATCGGATGCTCTATGCTGAGGTCTTTAGTTTCCAACGTAGAAGTGCGATACTGTAAACATGTTTATAAACACAGTAGAACCTTCCCTTAGAACTACTCAAATACCTTGAACTCTTCCGGGATGTCTGCTTGATTCAATGGATATTCTTTAACAAACTTGATGCTTTCTGCCATTACAAAGAACGGTTTATTCATTGTTTTGGCTATGATTGCAATGTTAAGAGTTCCAATCTGTAAAAGTATTTAGACTGTACTACAATCATGAAACAATCAGTTTAAGTCGAAAACAATAGAATTACATAACATAATTTAACAAGCATGCAGAAAAAATGCAATGAAATAAACCAACCTTGTTAATAATGCCACCTGTTTCCATGACTCCTTCCGCCCCAACTGCAACCATATCGATCCTTTCCATTAAATATCTACAAAAAATACTAGATCACAAAAAAAGAAATCAATTATATGAATAAATAATAATTAAATCAATTAATAAATTAAAATTATTAGGTTATTTATCTACAAAAATTACTAGGTAAGAGGTCACAGATTCTTCGATAATTTGACTGCCATTGGTTGGATTGGTATGGATTGTCGAACATTAACAAACTCCTCTATTTAATGCGCTTTGCGTAGAACAAGAATTTCCACCATTTACTTCATTTACTATCAACTACAAGAGGAAGATTTCGTTGTGGGCTCTCGAAAAGCTTGAAAAGCTTGAGAGAAGCACTGAACAGAAACGTACCCCACAGCACTATCCAGGATTAGAGTTGCATCGATGCCTTCTTTCCTCAAAGCTTCCTGCATTTGCTGTCCAACTCCATCAGGTTGGGATTCCGTAACCTAAATCGTAAGTTTATACCGTGATCTGACTAATACTTATTCAGACTGGAAATGGTTTAAAGGTATCAACGAAACTAACCCAAACGTGGAAAACTGTCCCTGCCCTATGTACCGTTATTAGCGTTTCTAGGACAACTTTGCTATACGAGTGCGTTAAAACATTCTGCAAGTTAATGGTTATAACCACAATTATACAAAAAGCACAATTCTACGCAATTATGCTCACCATGTTATTCTTGAAAAAAGGTCTGGCGTGTCTTGCAATCATTCCTCTGGACTTGGCCACCCTATTGATGAAAATCTTTCCTCGTTGTCGATAGAAGGCCAATACTTTTGAAAAATCTCGCTGATCTAGTAGTTCAGCGGGTGCAAGGGTGATGAACCTGAAGAAGCTCTCCCCAGCTGATTTGCAAATAAGCAAATAGAAGATCTATCAAAAACCTGCTTAAATACCTTCGGAAAAGATCACTGGCGCTTCTTATGGATGTTGAACTGTGGTCAGTTTTCGCCATCCCGCTTACGATTTCCGTCAATTCTTTGTTCAACTCATTGACAGTCGTAGCTATAAAACCCCATTGTTATTGGTTTTTAATGCATACAGGCTTTCGGATACTGTGGTCTGCAAGGTCCACTGCTCAGAAACACAGGCTTTTCCAACGAAAGCAATGATTGTCAACAGCTTACAGTTAACCTCAAAACTTTGGAAGTAAGCATTCAGTTAGAACAACAAGTATACGAAAGTCACTGCAAGGATCTGTAAAAATAAAGCCAAAATCGTATTCACCACTTTTTAAGCACATTGACTTCACTACTTTCTAACTTTTAGCCTCTCCCAAATCGCTTATTTACAGTAAACACGCCCGACCTTCTGGCGTTACAGTAAAAACGCCCGACCTCTTGACGGCTTCCCATTATTTCTCGAGATAGGATTAAGAAAAATCGTAGGTTAATTAGGTTTTAACAAGGCAATTTTTCGAAGCAGTTTCACGTATGCGCCTGAAACTACCTTCTCTAAATTTTCCTCATTTTGCAAAAAATAGTCGAACGACTGGGGAAGCATAGTTGAACGGAGAAATCCTTCAAAATGTCAATGAAAAATCACCGTTGCTGTTTTCAAGTGCCGTCAGTAGTGTTTCGATAGCTGCTAATCCAGTCGATTTCATCGGATCATCAGCTAGAAGCTGTGAGAAGCCTTCAGCCGTACCTAGCGTACTTGGTGCTGGCGTCATGATGGATTTACAGCTTTTATATTCTACTGGACTGTCCTCTACCCTGAAACAAATGTATTGCATTCTATTTGCCTTGAGACGACTTGACAAATGATTCTATTCCGAGCAGAGAAAAAAGCTATCAGTTGAAACGGATAATGCAATGCTTTCATTCGAATTTTCGTGAGCAGAACGCATCTAACAATAAGATAGCTCCACTTTTACAGGCCTCCACAATCTATGAAAAATTTAATTCAAAATACATCAGTAAGGGTTAATAAAGTGAAAGGTCACGACAATCACAGAGATTTCAAAATACGGAAGCTGACTAATGATTTGCATCAAGCTTTTCTTTGAATGAGCAAAACAAATGTCTGGAGATAAAAAAGCCTAGCGCCTCAAGGAAGCGATGTTTCAATTACAGGAATGCAGCACGGGACCCCAAAAGAGCTGCCAATCTCAACGCGCAATGAGCTAGAGATAAGACGTCATAGTGAATGGAAGTGAAGGTTCAAAAATGCAACTTGAGTGTCTCCTTCTAATTATGGAGCGTAATGAATGCAACAACAATCATAACATAAGAATTTTAACGAATCCCAATGCAATTTTAAGTGCTCTTACCAGATTGATGCTTCAGTGAGACTTGCAGGATCAGTAGGCTTCAAAGTATGCGGCGGTGCAGGCTTCGATTGATAGTGAGAATAGGCGTTGGCTGATGGTTCTTGTTTGCACGACCTGAAGTATGAGTTTGAAAGATAGTAATATGTTGATATCACGGTTTACGATTTTTTTTAAACCATGTCAACATGCTACAGATTACTTTAAAAGCTACTTTTACAATGAAAAGCAGAAACAGCCAAAGCACACTCGGAAAAAAATCCTTAATATTCACGGCAGCTAATAAATTCGCTTTTTTCGAAACCCTTGCAGGCAACAAAAACACGTGCTTTCAATTTTAATACACGTGTAAGTATGTACTGTGTTATTAAGCTTCTGAAGCGAGGCTTCTGACAGGGCTAAGTAAACTATGAACTAGTAAAAAGTAAAAAAGTAGTCACGCGTAAGACGTGCGAAATAAAGTTTGGAAGACTCAAAACAATCCCTCACTACTGTGAATAACTTGAGGAATAGCACTTGAAAAGTATTAAAAAGATTTTATAAAAAGCTATGATATGAATAAACTGGTATAAACCATGGTTCTCATTCTTGAATAAGTTCAACTACGAGAAATGGTTCCGATATCCGATGCTAGCATCTAATACCAAGTGTTTTTGTCCAAGAATGAAAGAATCTTTAAAAGGAAATGAAACTGATTAGTTTGACTTGGTTTTTCTAGGAACTGCTGCTATTTCCTCGTGCTCCCCTATGCGCGGGACTCGTGCGAGTTGTGGGCAAAACTACTGCCTAGAATGGAACTCGAACCCACAGTTTTGCTTTCCGTAAACAAGTACAAGTTCGAGTCGCGTCCGAACTTCACAACTATCCAAAATAGGATACGGTCGGAGTGCCGTGGATGCAGATAAGACAATGAAGTTGGATAGCTTGATGTGATAACAGTAAGAAGTATTAAAGATACCCAGAACCCTTTTTCTGCTCAGGAAAAAATTAACCTTCCTTCCCCTTCCCAACCCCCTCTTCGAACTCTCGTCAATTTACTTTACTACCTTTCTTCTAATAGGACCGGAGAGCCTGTTGAGAACTATTTCTTGTGTGCAGTGGTGCACGTAGAAATGGTGAAAAAGAATTTTCGCTGTTGCAGCACGAGCATCTCAAGCACGAGTAAAACCAAAGCAAAGAAACGCAAATTCTCTACCTTTTTTTACCTAACCTTAACGTTGCCATGGTCCTAAGAATTGAGTATGCCTGAATTAAAAGATAGTCATTCTGCAGTAAGTATTGCGTCATAGTCAAGGCACAGACAGTGGCAATTTGTAACCCACGAAGCCTCTCCATTACAAAGTTGCTTATAAAATGAAAACATTCAGGATTGTCCATCCCAGAAATCGATAGTTTTTTCCCCTGAGGCTACAAGTATCACTGAGTCCTTTGATCTTGAATATCATTTAGGAAGTCATAAAACAAAACCAATAAAAAATGCAAAAAGAATCATAATTATTCTCGAAAGCCTAGCTTTCTCGTCGCGATTACGAATACCTTTATCAAAAACGTTAATAAAGGGGAAGCCATTTTGGAAAGGCTTTCTATTTGATTAGTCCTTTGATTAGTCCGAGTCGCGCCGCAATACAAAGAACAGGCGGGGGAATTTGGGAAGTAAATAATGTAAAATGTATAATGAATGGGTTTTCTGATGTAAATTAAGGTTGATTTAAAAGGCAAAAGGCGCTATTAAATATACTTATTGAATATTTAAAACAAAAAACGAAAATTCTTAGTTGATTATTAGTCAAATAGTCCGCAATGAAAAAAACGACTAGGGCGAGATAAAAATGCAGAAATCAATACGAACCGTGGTTGCGTCGATGGCGACGACGAGAGTGGCGGTTGCAGTGGGGGTGACGAAGGTGCGTAGTCGGGAAGTTCGGAAACGGAATGACTACCCTGAACTTCGTGCTTATAGTTACGGAAGATCTTCAGCGGTACCGGCGGTGGTGCATCTTCCGGGAACTCGAACTGAGTTCGTCGTCGTTTCGCTTTTTTATTCGTACGTATCATGCTTCTCAGGGTATCTCGTCCGCCAATATGTCCCATCACTAATTGTTTCACCATCTCTTGACGTTCTTCGTCACCAAAATGAGCTGAAAACATCACTCTTATTCATACACTTGGTTTTACTTCCTAACTTGCTACCTGGGAACTGGTAATTTGGAAAAACTCACCATATTCCGGTTTATTTATGGCCTGAAGAAGGTCTTCTTCCACTTCTTCCGGTGAACCAACTTCAGTCATACTTTCTCGGATTTCGTTAAATTTCGCTATGATTTCCCGTCTCATCATGGACCGAGGAAAGTTTCGTGGTTCACAGAAATGAGCATGTTCCGGTAACGCTGGATCGCTCAAAAAATAACCATCTTGAATTCTTATGGTCGGTACAACTCCATACATCTTTGGTGCACGATCTTTTAGTGCTCGACAAGCTATACATACGTAACTGGCGATGGTCCCTGACGTATTGAATCGCTTGAAACTGAATTCCATACATAAATCAGGATCTTCTGGCAGCACGTAGACGGCGACATCTCGCCCACGTTGTTGTGAAGGCTTAAAGATGGCCTTCACAGGCTTGAACGCCATCTTCGTCGACGGTAAAGGCGGTTAGAAGTTTGAAATCCTTGCGTCAAATGGTAGTTCTTGAATATGGCCGAGATAGCGCAAAGTTGACAGCAGCCGTGGGGACGAGTTGAAAGGACTGCGATGGCGCCCAGACGGCGAGAGCGACGTCAACTCGTCCCGTCAACGGGCTGAGACGCAGACAATGCAGGCCACCACGCCGGTCGATCATTGCATTGTATCGGGTCGCTATGTCGATAGACGGCATAGCGATGTAGTTTTCGAGCTCATCTGCCTAAGTGGGGATGTATTGGCTTCTTTTTCCATATTACGACTGACTACTAGAGGTCTTACGAGCTACTTGTTACTAGTTAATCTGATATCCCTCTCGTTTAACTTCTGGGACTTTGTAGGCAAAGACAGGAGGGAGGACAGCGAGGGACCTCGCAAATCATTTCAATTCTATGCGCCTAACTCAAACTTCCGCTGAAAGTTGTTAATTTACGAATTTTGACGGGATTTTGGCACCCGGCCAACATTACGTGGTAACCAGTTTGTTCGCTATTCTTTCCTAGATTTCTCCCTATTAGAGAACCCGATTTGATAGTTTGCGTGTGGGTTCACTGGCTCTGCAATAAAAACAGGTGGGAACAGAACTTAAGGCATATTGTGAAGTGAAATGTATCTGCCTGGGAGACCTGGGGCCTTGCTTGCGGGCACAGCGAAGAGACAGAGGACCCGGGAATTTCGGCTGGACATCACAGAAAGTTTTCCGAGACCATCCCTTGACCGTGGCAGTGCCACATTCGCCTTCGCCGCTGTACATTTTGGGTCAGTCCTTATCTTATCACAACTACGCGAAATATTATTTTTTCAGCTTTATGACAGTTATTGATGAGGGGTAGGGGCATCAATTGACTGAATTGTCCTTTAGAACCCCTATTCTTACTTTTTTTGCTCAGAAAACGACGAATTGCTTATCTTGGTCGGAACGCGAAACTCAACTGAATCAACAGAAAAAAAANAAAAAAAACATTGAACCTCGATACAAGCATTCTCCAGAGGCCATAGGAGAAAAAGTAAGTAAGTGATGAAGTAGAAAAACTAGCTGAATTGGGTAGTAAAGAGTAGAGTCTTTGGCGCCGATCGATCTCCTTTTGAAATGCGCCCCGCATTCAACTTCAATTCACAATCGTGTGACCGTTTGAAGGCGTATGTAGCCTATACAATGACTTGCGATAGCTAGCTTATATAAGAGTCAGTGCTTGTTATGCTCACAGACGAGTCTGGTACTAAATAACCGACCGCCGATGAAATTTTTGGTTGACCTGGACGAATATCGCTCCAGGATTCGATCCCCGAACCATGAATATGTGATAATGCGCCAATTGCCACTGCCCTCAAATTATCTGCAGCCCAAGTGACGTCACAGGTAGCGCTGACTTAACAGTGCGATTTGGATCACGGGTTCAAGCAAACTCTGTGATTCATTTAGTGATTGAAATTCTCACTTGTAATTCATTGCGGATGGATTGAGAGAACGGATGGATCGGTCATGCCATGCACTTGTTCACGTGCAGATTTCTACAACCATTTCCTTCAAAATCAATCAAACTCAACATCTGTCAATCGATAACTTTTCCGAAATTACGATCTGAAACGCGATGGGACCGCGTGTGATATTGTTGAGGAACAGCAACGAAGAAGACGCTGTCCGAAATTAAAAGGAAATACATGACGATACGTGATTTTTTGATTTAGCCCACTTTATAACCCTTCATCTTTGACGTTGA